GTGCATGATATAGAAGAGACCCAGAAACAGGGCTGGGCAGCAACCTTTGTCACGTTAGATGTGCAGGGGGCCTTTGATGCTGTCCTACATAATCGGCTCATATGGCGGATACAAGCCCAAGGCTAGCCTGATTCAGTTCTTCGGTGGACTATATCCTTCCTCAAAGATCGAAGCGTGCAAGTACGCTATCCAGGAGGGATTACAAGCCCTAGGAAACTGATATGCGGTGTGCCGTAGGTCTCCGCAGCTTCATCTATCTTATTATTACTCTACGTGGTAGAGCCTATGCACGGTGGAAACCCTACGGCACGTGTCAGCTACGCCGATGATATTGGAATTTTAGGAATCGGCCGAACAGTTGCGGAATCAGCTGCTTTGGCACAGCAGGAGGGGAACAAATTAGTAGATTGGGCGGAGGAAAATGCTATATCCTTTGAAACTGAGAAATCGGAAGTCGTTCAGTTCCCGGGGAGTCGCCTTGAGAAATCAGCGGGGATTCATATAAACGACACGTTCATAGAGCCAGCTGAGTACATTCGATGGTTAGGAGTCTATCTCGACAAGAGTCTATCTTTTAAAAATCATGTGTAAATTTGGAGTGGGAAAGCACCTAAGGTGGCTCAACTTCTGCGACAAATAAACTCAGTCAAGTAGAGGGCAACCCCAGGACTATAAATGACTGCGTTGGAGGCGTGCATGATTCCAATAGCGACATATGGCGCAGATATTTGATGGCCCGGTTTGACACGACCCCAAAGACGGGGTCTTGTGACTCCCCAGATGACGCATCTATGCAAGCTGATTGACAGAGCTTTAATTCTAGCCTTAAGACCAGCACTTCCGGTGCGGAAGACTATACCCATCGCTGTGCTTCACAGGGAAGGAGGCATTCCACCAGCCCGGATCCTCCTAGAATGCAACCGCCTAAGACTTTCTGCAAGGTTGCAATGCCTCGATGATCGTCATCCCCTACTTATTCGTGCAAGGATATGCCCGAATGAGGGAACAATTAAATACAAGAGACGGAAAAAGCTATCTTCGCGACCCGATACCCAGATGTCCCGCGTCCAACGGACTTACTGCCAACTACCTATAGCGGAGGATGCCGAACCACTTCCTGGGCCAGTACATTGGAGAAATCCTGGATCAAAGTTGGAACGAGTGAAGGATTACCAAAAATGGATCAGGACGGTCCCCCCATCTGAGATTTGTGCTTATTCAGATGGGTCCTCAGAAGGTCACCGTCGATCAGCATGGGGAAATGTTCCTCAATGAGGAGGAATTACATTCAAGAAGGAACGGGGGTCGCTTCACGGATGCGAAACTTTCGACGCCGAGATTGTCGGGGCAATAGGCGCGCTGTGAGCCGCTATCATTGCGAGACAAGAGGAGGAAAAGATAACTGTGCTACTCGAAAACTAAGCAGCTGTTAGAGCATTACAGACTGGAAATTTTTCCTCTACCTGCCGCTTAATTTGCATCTTTCATGATGCTGTGCAAAGATCCAACGTAGAAATCAGATGGGTCCCAGGACACTCAAACATAAAGGGGAACGTGGAGGTAGACAAAGAAGCTCGGGCCGCACTAAAATTACTTCCGGACAGCCAGAAACAACCCAGCCATATCTGTCTTGCTTACCTTCGACATCTTATGCAAAAGCGACGACAAGAATTGATAGACAAATGGTGGTCAACTGCGTGTCCAGCTCGATACATAGACTTGGACCTGCAAATGCGACGACGTAAACCCCCAGAACTTTCGTTGCCACGGAGATTACTACACGAACTCATTGCTACGAGAACAGGGCATGGGGATTTTGCGGCGTATCACCATCGCTTCAAGCACGAAGATGCAAATCTGGTTTGTAGCTGTGGGCTAGAAAAGACGCTCACCCATTTCACACGCTGTCGGAGATCTAATATTCTGACGCGTAAACTTAGAAGCGACTTGAGCTTAGATGCTTTTACTAGGCAACTCCTCGGAAATAAAGGTTACAGAAGTTTAAAAATTTTGCATGGGTTACAGGCTGCTTTGGTAAGCTGGACGCATCCTAGTCTTGTGCTGAATGCAAGGACGGGTTTTAGAATAAATGCCGGGGCAAATACGCTAGCGGAGGAGAGCTCAGGATAAGGATTGCTGACTCAAAACCATTGATTATTTCTTTTGATTATTTCATTTCTTTTTCTTCACTACATTATTTATTTAACGAGCTCATGATTTATTAGCTCTAAACTGGGTGCGAACGATTAGGGCAATCCTAAAGGTTAAATCTCGAGCGGCTCCAACGGTCCTACATCTAAATAGATTGAAGGCTACGGCCTAGGACTTAAAACTAGAATAAATAAATAGATAGAATAAACCCAAGTCTGCACACATTAGTTCATTGCTCCCAACTCACATGATTGTTTTCCTCTCATATCGCTAGTCACCCATATTTGTCCATTAAGATATCTTCCGCATGCCCATAATCATAACACAAAAAGACCATTTATTTATCACAAGGAAAGTAAGTACCTAAACTTCTAGAAAGGCATGGTTTGACAGAGTGTAAGACAGCAAATACTCCGATGGAGCGACTTATAGAGGTAAGTAGCTCACAATGCTTCAATCGATCGAAATTTGAGTACAACTCGATTGTGGATGTACTTTAATATCTAGCCACTAATACTCGCCCAGACATTGCTCGTTCTGTTAACCACCTTGCTCGATTCCCCACAAATCCATCAGCAGAACACCGCAATGCAGCGTGCAGGGTACTTCGCTATATAGCAAGAGATCCAGAACATGGAATTGTGTTCACAAGAAAATAAGGTGTCTTATTATAGTTCTGTATCATGTAGCGTGACTTATTTTCGTAACATTTCCTTATAGAATAGCGCTGGGAATAAGAAAACGGCTCCTCGATTTAATTATTAGTTGTTCCTTAGGGGGGACTGAGGTAGACAGGAATGAATGGATATCAATATTGTTATAACAAGCTTGTCACGAAACCCATTCACTCGAAGTATTCCGACAATATATACAGTCCCTCAGTCAACATACCTCAGGTAACAGAGCTACACCAGACGTCACAAGGCTATCTTAAACTTCGAATGCTCAGAGATGGCACCAATGCCTAGATCATGTGGGATAAAAGATTCTCAAAAAGGCAGCAAAATATTCTCTGGGGATGGACGGGATAGATCTTTCCGACCTAAGTACGCGTGAAACCTACCATGGGAGTAAAGCACAACGCTACGTTTCAAGAGTGCCACGGCCAATACCAGGTGAGCCATTGGACGAGTTCTTTATCGAAACAGTAGGAAAAGTGACAAAGTCAATCGATGGTCAGAAATACCTTGTTATCCTTACGGACGCAAAAACACGCATGAAATGGTCAGTATCCACCGCGACAAAGGATGAAATCGCGCCAAAGCTGGCTCTATGTAATGAACAATCGCATCATCAATTTGGCAAACAGGTGCGTGCCATGCCCTCTGGGTGCTGGGGTAGTACCGGTCACGATAAAAAAATATTATCATTGGCAAAGAGGTTTGTGCTGTTTTCAAGGATGGTAGTACTGAATTTTAGCGTATCAAAGAGCATTGCGATAACTACGGCATTCGTACAGATCGTGGGTGGGTGAGTTATGTGTTTATTGTACTACTTGAGTCATAGACCATCCAGCACAATGGGCTCATCGAGTGAGCTAATAACTTGATGACCTTCATGTATTATCTTATAAATGATGACTAATGAGGTCGATGAGCAACGAGTTACCTGTTTAGGAATGACGTTAAGAGAGAAGGATTGTTACGGTCTGAGTATTCCGACAGCAAACTCAAGCATATCCAAATTCGACGACTTCTCATCAACATTGGGCCTATCATTCTTACGCGAGTCCTTCAACTTACCCATACCATATTCAACTCGCCTCAACGACTGATGAAGGAGTCGCACCGATGGCATACGGAGACTTGTCTTATCTGAAAGCGGCCAACTCCCACTGTAACATTACGATGCCATGTATATCTGCGAGGAGGAAACTAAGTCATAATATACAAAGCTCGGGTGTTGGTCTATGGAGGACCGTTGCTCTAATGGGGCTTCACATATTGAGGAAGTACAGCCAGCTGAGGCGCGGGACGAATGAGTGAAGAGGTCACAAATGCGTACGCTAGGACTAACATTTTTCGACTGTTTTCGACTTAAGGGTATCTGTGGGCGCAGAAGCAACGATTTGGTTTAGTACCACCGTCACTTTAAAAAAAGGCAACAATGGATGGTGTTGTGGTCCGCCTCCTGGTCGTAATCTCCTCGAATTAAAGTCTGAACAGTCTGTACACCTGCCCCCACTCGAGAGATGGATGACAGCGAGGTCATATCTCGCGTGGTGGCTATATACAAGATGGCAAAGGCATATTAGGGTAGCCAAAGCTTTTTCCTGCTTTCCATTTGGTGGATATTAACGGTTGAGGGAGGGGTGAAAGTCCCTAGCACAAATGTCTTGAGTGGTATCAGAAAATGCACCCTCTACATGAGTGGTCCAAATGTCAAATTGAGTTGTCTTTGTATACAGTCGTTGGTGAAGGACTAGCCTTCTCTGTGTCATACTATACAAACGCCAAGCTTGTGCCTGTCACGGATAAAAATCTATCTACTACTGCAGCGCTGACAAGTGATCATCGGTGAACTTCCTTATTCCAGCGTACAGAAAACGATGAGTGTCTGGGAATGTCAAGTTAGGAGATTTTTGACGCCCCCACTTCCAATTGCACTTAAGGCCAGTAGACCTTAAGCCGGCATTGTGGCCGGAGTACCTCATATTTTGGAGAAAAACAGCCTTTACATCATGTTCTGTTGTTGGTGCCGAGAGGAATCCTCTACATTAATAATTGCATGGTCATTAGCTTTTTGAGTGCCTTTTAGAAAATTTCGCATTGGTCTACAATCCTCAACCCTTGATAAAAGTCAAACCATAGTATTACAATTCAAGAAGAAAATCCTTTCCAGAAGGATTATCACCAACCTCTGCCCTGCATCTTATCCTTGGCATCCATCATGCTCACATTCAGCCCTACCATTGCTTCTCCGAGATCCTCGCTAACTTCCGCTAACACCTTAGGGTCATTGTAGTGAGACACTGCCTGTACGATTGCCTTTGCTCTCTTAACGGCATCACCTGATTTGAAAATACCGCTTCCAACAAACACTCCGTCACATCCTAGTTGCATCATGAGTGCTGCATCAGCCGGCGTCGCGACTCCACCGGCAGCAAAGTTGACAACAGGTAATCTGCCCAATTTGGCGGTCTGTCGAAGGAGATCGTATGGTGCCTGAATCTCTTTGGCTAGAACCCGAAGCTCAGGATCCGACATCTGTGATGCTCGACTTATTTCTGCTGATACTGTTCGCGTGTGACGTACAGCCTCGACAACGTCACCTGTACCAGCTTCGCCTTTTGTTCTAATCATTGCCGCACCCTCTGATATTCTGCGAAGAGCTTCACCAAGATTTCGGCAACCACAAACGAATGGTACGGAGTAACTGTGCTTTTCAACATGGTGAAGGTGATCGGCCGGGGTGAGGACTTCGGATTCATCAATGTAGTCGACTCCGATAGCTTCTAATATCTGTATAAATATCAATCAATAAGATCTGTAGATAACTGGTGGGTAGATTATACCTGACACTCCACAAAATGCCCTATCCTTGCTTTGGCCATTACAGGTATGGTGACGGCTGCCATGATCTCTTTAATTAATTTTGGATCGCTCATCCGTACCACACCTCCTTCAGCTCTGATATCTGCGGGTACACGCTCCAATGCCATGACCGCACATGCGCCAGCTTCCTCTGCTAATTTTGCCTGTGGGCCATAAATTGAGCTTCATAATTTATTTCTGAATGCTAGAGTGCTCAAACGTACCTGTTCGGCGTTAACTACATCCATGATGACACCACCTTTTAACATGCGTGCAAGTCCCGCCTTGACAGTGAACTTGCTCTCACCCGCATTATTTGAGATTTCAGTGCCATTTGATGGTAGAGTCGTGTTTGTGGGGAGTTCAATAGCCATCTCGGTAAGGCTGTAGTTAAAGCTTTGATTCTAGCTTGAATGCTGGTTTCAGTTGGTTACTTTTCTGTCGAATTATCTTGATAGATTGGGAAGATGGAATTGAGCTGAAGATGTGGTTTAGTTTGAGATGGAATGGCTGGATAGGACTTATAATGTCTTTCACGATCAACCCCTCCACCCCATCAATAGAGTCTCGGCTACTCCAAATCCAAATCCAAATCCCTGTACACTCGGTTCCTTCGTCACTTTGTTCCTTGTCGAGGCCAGCGTAGTAGGTCAGTATCATAAGCATCATCATTATTCAGTCGCAAAATTTCGTCCGAGACGAAGGAAATCTCGACGCCTATCTCTTGATGCGCAATGTCATATCACATGCCCCGTTTATTTGGCTCCATCGGCTCTGTCTCAGGTCTGGCCTTGACCACCCTCATATTTCAACGTCCCCAGTGTATCATACACCTTGATACTACCGTCCATCCTCCCCTTCACGTCGCTCAAGTGAGGCTTGCTCCACGAGGAAGTGAGAGTAAAAGTAATAAAGCAAAAATTATACGTGAGCTTGTCTCGGGGAGCATTCTTGGATTCGGAGCGGGCCTGTTCCTCCGTCTATTTTCGCGACCGCTCCTCATCATAGTGACGCTGGCAGGGCTAGGGCTACAGGTAGGCTTTCATATCTTCGTCCCAATCTTTACACCTTTGTGCTCGGATCAAGCAAAACTGATCAAGCCGCGCTGCAGTACGCGGCTTTCAAAGGCATCAACCTCGTTTCCCATAAACGATTAACAGGATGTATTCAGAATCTTGGTATTAGCTACCTAAAGTCTGATACGGTATGGAAGGCTAGCTTCGGGCTTACGTTTTTGATTGCTGGGTTTTTGAAATTTGACGACAACATGGATTAAAAGCTGGCTTTATCGCCCTTCATATAATTTGTGAGATACGAAAAGGGAAGGTTAACAATTAACCTCTTATGTATCGGATTTATTCTTTAGATACGGTCAGCTACCGCAAACTACGTCTTGCAACATCTGAAGAAATTCAATCGGTATCTCTGACCTCCTGCAAACTTCAAAATTTAGACATGGCCCACATCATAGCCTAGCGTTGTTCAGTACTGTGAGACGTTATTATTGGTCAAGAAACAGCCTGAGTCACTTCACTCACAGTCTACATCCCTGTTGTTGTTAATGGACTCGGGATCATTTGCCATATTAGCGACACGTTAGATTCTCGGTCATATTAATGCGTTAGCTCCCTCTCATATAATCCATTTTTTACTGCAACTAGTCAAGGATGATTCTGTGCCCCGCCCTCCTTGTTAACTCAAGATAGGCTAAATAAACTAACGGTCAAGTGATTGGTGCACTAGATCCAAGAGATATGACTGCCACTCCACGATACTTTCAGCTCCTGCGGAATTGAATTCCCGGTTAGAACTGGGAGTCTGTCAAAGTCGACGTGACGTAAATTACAAGAAAGAGGCCGGAAGTTGCACAAGTAGGCTGGAAAGAGCTCGAGGACCGATAGGTTGAGTGATCTTTTAGTATACAAAGACATCCTGCACGCCAAGGCCCTGGTGTGCGGAGCCGTTGAGGCATCAGGCCCCAACATCGAGGAAAGACCGTGTGCACGGCACTACGCCGAAATGTGAGGTCCAAGCATTAACCCACGACCCCTACAGTAAGCACGCGACCGATAGGATGGAGAAAGGCACGTGAGTGGTTTCAAGTCTCGCATCTAATGTCAAATGAGTCGAATAGCGACAGCTTACAATTATCACTAGAAGTAAGAATTTTAATCAAGTACATTATCTATTTTCTATTCTTCCTTCTCTAACATCTAGTTACATCTCTAAGTATGTGCGCCACCCTAAGTAACGGGACACGGGACCCACACATCGGAGCAGACCTGGAGGGAATCATGGGAAAGGCGGTACTAGCAGAAACTGAGGATTGAGTGCTATTCGTACGAAGGAAGCCGAAAGAGCATGAATGGTTTGTGCAAATAGAGCGCGAGTTGATGGTTCAGATGAGGGATGAAAACGACTCGTCCACAGAACTTTCTATCGTGCATCAAGTGTAGCAGATAGTGAAGCATAGGACAGTAGTTAACCAACAATCTTAAACATTTATTATACTACTCAACTCCTCATCTTTGACCCAAATTATTTTTGCTAGTTAAGAACCTCACTATTACCAACTTACTGTCCAATTTCAAAAATGCGTCGATCAGACCGACGTCGTAGACGTCATCGACCCGAAATTGTGATTGACCGCCTTCGACGCCCTACGGCAAGTTATCCTAGGCAGGGGAGAGAAGGAGACATGAATAAAATATAAGGAGATGACTAACATTAAAGTAAAACGCCACCGAATGTTGTATGATGTTTATTAAGCTACTTGAGACTAGGACCATTTAGCACATTGGCCTCCTCTGTAGCCCATGCCACACCTCGCACGGTAATCCTATCCTCTTTAATTGCTTGAAAGATCATCGATATGTTGCCCGTGATGAATATTCATTCAGCTAAGTGTTTGCCCATGGAACCTTCTACCCAAAAAAATTAAAGTGGTAGTAGTTGAAGCTGCGTGCGTGGGAAGAAGTCGCAAAAATCTTGCTGCCTCAGCTAGTCGAGGCCTCGACACCGGAGCCACATCAGGTGCACATATACATCTATATCTCCCTTCTTTGTAACAGTCGATGCAAACTTGATCCAACCCGCCATCTCCGTATCGGGTGCCGGGTACGCTCCGGAAACTCATCGGATGGCTTCTCCTCCATGATCAAGGGTTGGTGATGAGTAGGAATTCGACCTTACCATCTGATCTCATCGTAGCTAGCTTCATGTTAATGGTGATGGGAGGATGCGTTGAGAGATGAAGACAATACAGACCGCGAAAATGATTGGGAATCCTCGTCGAAGTGAGGACTTTGTTACTCAATCTCGGCTCTGCACACTCCACAGTGAGAGCTGAAGGTTCGTAGGGGACACCACTGACAGATGTTGAGAAAAGTCCCCCGTAACGCATGTATATCAGGGTTAATGCAAGGGGAACCAAAAGGTGCTATGGTGAAGTGTGTAATGTTTCTATCATCTATGACATGCTGAACGTGGGGTTCGTGATATTGGCTGAGTCATCAAGATAATGATTCAGCAATGGAGAGATGTACCGCACTTAGCGCACGGCAATTGGGGATAATCTCCAATAGCAACACGAACACTTTCTCATGGTGTTCTCTGCTATGGTTTGAGTAGCCTGCGCACCTACTACACTTGGGAAAGAGAGACTTAAGATCACATTTCGCGCGGAGAAAAGATAATCGATGTTGAGGGCAAGCCCGGATAACTCTGGGTATTTGAAACGTCCCCCTGGGTGTGTATTCACGGATGAGGGTTGACTTGGGGTGAAGAGGAAGCTACCATAACTTCCCAGTGATACTCGCAAATGAAATCCGAGGCATGAGCGCTCTTCCTTTATATTGAGTCATCTATTATCTACTTTTCTACGATATTGTGTCATAGCTAGATAGCTACATACGCAATTAAAGCCTGATGCAAAAAATCACTTTGGCAAGACTTTTCTGGCATTCCTCACCACTTCGAATCTTTCGTGCTGTGTGAACGTGAAAAGGAGCTGAAAGATGACCGTGGAGACATAGAATAAATCACTTGGGTACAACTACATTGTTTGATCCCGCTCTGCTAGCTTCTTAGAATGCTTCAGAGGGGTAATTATGTCTTCAGTGCCATCCCACACGTCGATATCAACGAAAGTTTTTAACTTGATTTTTCGAAAGTTTTCCAGGCTACCACAATCTTGATATTCGCCTAGGGTCTGAAATTTACGACAACGAAATCAATTCAACGAGGTTGGGGTCGGCAGCTCCCAACCACAGCATGTCTTACTGGTATTCTGTTCATTGGTATACAAACATCGGTAAAATATGACAATACTTTTACAAGGTAGAAAGCTACCGTCTCCCCCATATTCACTTATTTTCTGAACAGAATTACGCGTATATAATTCAAGCGTATTTGGGTATTTTCGAAAGATAGCCTCAACAGGGTAGATTTCTAGATTCTGAAGCAACGTTAAATTTTCTTGATAATTTGCAAACTGCCTGAAACTCCTGTCGAAATACAGGTACAAGTGAAAAACCGCCTAGATGATATAGAGAATCAACTGATCCTCATCACTCGGTTATATCGGCATTGTCTCTCGCTTAAGCCATTGCTTTGCAGTACTTCCTTCCTCAAAGTAATTCTCAGTAGCATCCCAAATAATCTCATGATACTTATTCAACCACTGTCGCTCCTTGCGCGAGAGTAAATTTTCATCAATCAGTCGCCGACAGTAAGGGACCATGGTGACATGCTCAAAACCAAGATATGGCTTTTCACCAAACTGATGATTTGTTGGGATTTCCTTGACAATTACTATATTCTCAGTCCGAATACCAAATACACCGTCTTCATAATAGCCAGGTTCGTTTGAAATTACATTTCCAGCTGAAAGTGGGACTTCGGAGAACTGAATACGGGTACCAATCCCAATAGGGCCTTCGTGCACATTGAGATAGGAGCCCACCCCATGCCCGGTACCATGGCGATAGTCCAGGCCCTCTTCCTGAAAGTTTTTAGTTATGCTTATTGTAAGTGGGTAAACCAGCTTACCCATAAGAATTGACGCGCAAGTGTGTCAAGTGAAAATCCTGTGGTACCTTTGGGGAAGATTGCTGTGTCAAGTGCAATATTACCTTTAAGTACGAGTGTGAATGCTTTTTTCTCCATCTCACTAGGCTCCATAAAATGTATAGTTCGAGTTGTATCTGTGGTTCCATCTAGATACTGTGCACCTGAATCACAGAGGTAAACGGCTTTGGGATCAATTATCGAACAGTTCCCTCGTTCAGGTGAGTAATGTATGACTGCAGCATTAGGTCCAGTTGCTGAAATAGTATCAAAAGAGAGTCCGACATGGTATTTTTGCTTAGATCTTAACTCCTCTAGTTTATCGGCAGCTGTTACTTCATCAATTGTAGCATTTTCTACCAAGAGTTTTTGTTCTAGCCAAGAGAAGTATTCGATAAGTGCTGCGCCATCGCGTACATGACAAGCTCGCATGCCGGCCATCTCGGTCTCATTTTTTATGGCCTTTGCATCTCCAATTGGACTTCGAATTTCTTCGACGTTTGACTCACCTCCTAAAGCAACCTTCAATGCCCATGATGTCTTGGTTGATATAAGAATTTTTTTCGTATCGACTCTAGGCTGGTTATTGGCCTCGCCAAACATAGACAATACTAATGCTTGACAGTCTTCAAATATGCTTTCATAAGGCTGTAATTTAATCCCATTATTTTTTAGATACTCTTTTGCCTTTTCATTGAGCTTGCTTGATTCAATGTACAAAGTAGCCGTATTCAAGGTAATCAAGGCATAAGAGAAGAAAACGGGATTGTAAGGAATATCATTACCTCTTAGATTAAATAGCCAGGCTATTTCATCCAACATAGAGACAACAAAACCACAACTCTTTTTCTTCTCTAGTTCGGTGCGAAGATCTTTCAATTTTGTTGTAATATCTTTCCCCGTAAACTGTTGATCCAAAACAACTACGGGCTCCATTGGCTTCGCTGGCCTTTCAGAGCCCCAGATCTGGTCGACAAGGTTTGTTTTAATAGGCACTAAGCTGCTGCCACCTTGTTTCTTTATCTTATCTGCCAATTTTCTTGCATCTGGGGCAGTTATGAGAGTTGGATCTACCCCAACTCTCATTCCATTTTCTGACTGTTCCGCAGTCCATTCCTGCCAGGTTGGTACACCCTGCATACCCTGCTTGAGTAATAGCCAATTTGAATCTAGCTGTTTTGTAGCTTGGTTAAAGTATCGTCCATCTGTAGCTAACGCAGCTTTCTGGAGGGTCACGACTGCACATCCGGCGGACCCCGTAAATCCCGTTATATAACTTCTCCTAGTATCGCATGGAGCTATGTATTCTGACGAATGACTATCTTCAGAAGGAATTACTGTTTCCTTTAGTACTGTTTGTAGATGAGGTTATAGCGGCTGCCGTACTGTAAATATCTATTTTAGATGATTGCATCAGTCCCCTCAATCGAGTAAGACGATCAGTAGTATCAACTTTGTCCATAGCGAAGACTGTTTCTCAGTCAGTTAAGTTTTCTTTAAGACACAATTGTATAATTGCCTGGGGTTCTATAGTTGTTAGGCAAGATATTCTGTCGGTGACATATACAAAAGTTCTGTGATTTGAACAAGGAGATTACTTTTGGTTTAGTATGTCTGTAACAATTCTGGAACGCTCGATGGTAGAGCATTGGGGTATGCTGATTACTAGATCTGCGAGGGGTAAAGTAGCTGCATCTGTGTTATCAGGTGACCAGACTCATCAGTATGGGTTGCATTGAATATTTACTAAAGTCTCTTCCAAGACTGATACAAAGAAAAACTGCTACCAGCCATCCAATTAGCTTTTAAATACTTGTTGGTTGATCAATATATTCAGTTCAGCTCTTTCTAATAGATTTTGAGGGTCTTGATCTTCGTTAAGGTAAAATGTCTACGTCACAAATATGAAACCAGGAGGCCTATTCTCAGCGAGAGCTAACGTCTCTAAAATAATTGTATACGATGGATGTGCTTGAGACAGAATATTTAAGCTGTGTAGGCACGATGCAAATGATTTCAGATTGAGCAAGTCTAGTTTTGGTATCCTCAGGCCATTATTTTTATACTACCCTCGCATGGGTCTACATTCCCCACACACCACTAAGCCATTAAAGTAATTTCTGAGTAGTAGAATACAGTTGATCCCAAAATCTCCACTAGTAACTACCCTTCTATATGACTGATAGAAGCAGAATCCTTCTGTCTCCTCAAATCAGTCATATACCCTTCATAGGTTCTAACGGCCATGAACCATGACCAGTTACCATCTTCCATTGAAGAGGTAGAAACTGTGAGTCATTCAAAAATCGAGTTAGCATAACAAACAAGCCATCACGAATTCGTAGCAATCTAACCGCGGTTTATTCTATTGGTATTATCAGGCAACATCGACTGATTTTTGATCCCAGCTTATAAAGCGACTATATGGAGTAGGAAAGCCCGAAGATATCGTTAGGACACAGATAGTACTCCATAAACTTCAACTCTCCTCTCAAGGATGGCAACTAGCAAACGTCCTCCTGAATCGAGATGATAATCAATTGAGGTTTTTTGCAGCACTAACTATCATAGTAAAACTCAACACTGATGCGTGAGCTTCCATGTAGAAGATTTTGTTCACATATATACTCATAATTTTTAGAAAATCCTTGTCAGAGAATGATACAGCATCTCTGCTTCTGGCCTTGATAAATTCTTTAATTCTGTGGACAAAAAGTGATGAAGGTCCATTAGTAGGAAGGAAATTATGCTCAGCTTTAGTATCATACTTTCTTCAATTCTCGCATATTTGGTCTAGATGTGTTCAACATCTGTTGTATTGTTTTTGTCGAGACGAAGCGCTACCGTACACTTCGTTGCGGGAAGCTCCTGATTCAATTATTTTGGTTCAAAACGTATCAGATAAAAAAGCTAGAGCTGTTTTATGGTTTGCTTCAACGCTTGTAGAAGATGTGAGCAAAACGGATTCCAATTCTATGAGGACGTAAGTGGCATCTCAGATGAAAATCTGCACTAACAAATAATAGGCACAAATTTCATAGCCACATCAGACCGAATGTAAATGATGTTGTGCCTCTAATCCGAAAATACCTCTTTGAGGCGCCGAATCAAGCGTTGACTAGAACACAACAAGAAGCTATGAAATGTTTTCAGGTATGAGTATTTCATTGTTATGAAATTTCGATAACGTTTATTGACATCTGCCGATTTAAAAGTCTTGCATGTCCTACTCCCACAGATCTTTTATCGATAAAGAAGCTGAACTAGATGTTCTTCATAACCTTACTCAACCTGCTCTCCAACACATAGTAAATGATGAACTGTATGAGACAACTGTAGAGCTTTTTATTGATATACTTTCGACCTACTCCCGATTTCTACAACCCGAAGACTTTGATAATCTGTTAAGCTTATTTTCCACACCATGGGCTCTGAAAAGGTACCAGACTTTAGTCGAAGGAAACTATGACTGGGAATCCCTTCAGTTCGGAATGCTCCTTCTCGCATTTGGAGATGCAATTGTCAAAGAACTAACACAAAAAATTGAAGTCCCGCGGTACAACCAGTATCTGGTGCTACTTCTCGGTCTTCTAGAGGCCAAGGGTTATGCCGTAGCCGAAGACAAGATCTATGTACCAGCATTAGAGTTCTGGAGCACATTTGTGGAGTGCATGGTCGATGAGAGCTTCAGCGTAGAATCCGGGACAACGCCTCCCTGGTTTCCAATGGCAAAAAGTTTCGTAATGCAAGCGATTCAAAGCTGTTGGTATAAGAGTCACTATCCTAATGCTAAGATCTTCAGCTCCTGGGACTCAGTTGATATTGCTGGCTTCAAAGATGCCCGAAGAGATCTTTCAGATTTAAATCAGCAATTTTATCTGGTTGCAGGATGTTCCATGTTGAATTTCTGGGTTGAAAAAGTTTCACACTCAGCAGCTAACAAGAATTGGCTTGAGCTGGAGGCATCGTTTTTTTGTTTAGAGCAACTAAATGACTCAATTTCTGAACCATCTCATCGAGATAATGTCATGGATCAGGTGTTCACACCAGATTTAATTGCTCTCTTCACTCAACAACACCTAGAAATATTTTCAATTACGCGCCGAACATTTTTGAATCTTGTAGGTGGGTATGCAAATTACTTTAAGACGCGAAGTTTATTATTACTTCAAGTTTTAAATATTGCATTTGTTGCCCTCAAGTCAAGCGGTCTAGCTGACCAAGCATCCCGGTGTATCCTAAAGCTTTGTTCAGATTGCCGGAGCAATCTTGTTCCAGACTTAGATGGTTTTATCCAGCATTACAGCAGCATCGCCTTGGATAATACACTTGATCACAACATTAAAGAATCAGTTATCGAAGGAATAACTTGTCTAATACAAGCTCTGGATGACGATGTATCTAAAATCGGACCCTTGAACCAACTCCTAAACTACGTTGAAGCTGATGTTAGCAATTGCCTCCATATCCTGGGTAATCAGCGTCCCACTTCCGAAGATATGAAGCCTCTGTGCTCTCCTACCGAGGAAGCTAAAGCAATCGATATCGGAATCTTATCATTAAAATGTCTCCTGGGAATAGCGAGAGGTATTCAAGCGCCAGATGACCAACCCATTAATCTAGATAAAGGCGACGGATATGTGTCAGTCTGGACTATAGAAACTGGACTTCTTGTGCAAAAAAGAATATATAATATAATTGAACAAGTTTATGAAGCTCTTGGAAGTCATGGTGAGATTATTGAACAATGCTGTCTTGTATGGCGGCAAGGACTCCGCGAGCTAGAGCCTGGCCCGTTCGTATTGCCATCTAGTCTTGTTTCTCAATTCATGATGAAAACCAATCTACAGACGCCTCGGCTAGGTCTAGTGATTAAAACCGCAGCTTCATTTACTTCAGCAAAACATAACTCAAACCCTGAGGAAGTTCTCGGCCCTTTATTAGCTTGGGTCGCCTACTTGTTGCATGACCTTGGTGGTTTGTTCAGGTATAATTTTTTTCATGAATCTTTTTACTAAGGTAAATACTAGGTCCTGCATCAGATACCGAGATTGCTCACGCTGGAATCGAATTCATGTATAGACTTCTTCCTAAGTACCTTGGCGTATTAATGAGTCATCGACCATCTACTTCGCTTGAATACCTCTTTATGTTCGCGCTGGAGGCTATGAAAGGGAACGATCCCCTTCCTAAATCAGCAGCAGCCGATTTCTGGGTAATTATTGCACCGGCTTAGTATCAATCGTCATACAGCTAATTCAAAAGGGTGCCTTTTTTTCAGTAACTTCGCCACCAATTGACATACAATCCGATCTCACTTCTGCAATCCAGGTTCTCGGTCCACTTTTAGCACGGGCGCTTATCTTCAATATAGGTGGCAGTGCTGCACGTAGCGAGCTCGAAAAAGTTTCCGATCCGATTAAGAAGATAGTAACATGTCATGTCAATGCGAAGAGATGGCTCGAAGAAGCATTAGTTGATTCCAATTTTCCTAGTGATAGGGTTAATAACAAAGATAAGTCAATATTTTTGCAAAAGCTGATGAAGTATTTCATTTCCATACGCCATTGAAATCAAGTTGCTGACAACTGTGATAGTTTGAGGGGTTCCCAGACAACAACACAAGTAGTCAAGGATTTCTGGCTTGCGTGTCGGGGCTCACAGTTTGCATATGCTTCATAAAAATTACAGCTTTAATATCACTAGCCAAATTAAGAACAAAATTCACGAATATTCATGTGTTTTACTAATCGCTGGTAGGGTATTGTGGTCCTAAATTGCGTTGGATTAATTTTAATATGAAGTTAACTCAATTTAATATTTTAGACTTATGAAGTACCTTAGACTTATCCAAAATTCTTAATTCTCCCTAATTTTTGGTGTGAAATTTGTTTTGAAGAAAGTTTGGTATCAAATTTTTAGAAATACATGTTTAAGATTGATTTTGATTTGTGTAGTATTTGAGGCCAGAGACTGTAGCTCTAAGAATCTCTAGGCTCAGAGTAACTCTACCTAGTATGCTTATACTCTTAGAGTAGCTCTCGTTAAATTTCAGAAGACCAGCGCTGTGTATAAAAGATTTCAAAGTAACTGGCTATCTGAATATTTGCAGTTTATCTAGAAAGTGGCTTATGAAAATTTTCGCACCAAACTCCAACTTAATTATTTTATGCAGTTATTTCGACTTGCTGGATGTTAAAATGTGCCGGGCCCTTCGGCAACTGATCAATTTGGAAAACTTTCTCAAGATATGGGATTACGTTCTAGAGCGGCAAGACATGGGTGTTGTGATCTATGAACAGCTGAACCCTGATTGGTGGTGAAGAGTGCGCTAAAGATTGGCATGGTCATGCGTTCTAATTAGGCTACGTCTATCCCACGTTAATTTTTTTCTATATCAATATTACAGAGAGTAGTAATATTAAAGTATTTTATTATCAATCACCTACATACATAAATAATACACAGAATTCTGAGTCTATGTACAGGTGTCAGAGTCAATATTAGTACCCCGTTATGACCGACTGTCGTAAAGAGAAATCAATTGATTGCTTAGAATCTACAACTAAGGAAAAAAAGGAAGACAACCCGAATTGGATACAATGTACAGGCAACTTATAAGCAATTATATAGCCTCAGGAAATCATTCTGGTTTGTCACCCGGGTGACCGCGTATCATAACAATGGGCTCATCTAGCCTGGTAAGAGTCCGAGATGGCCTACAATATTCTTTAGGCCCTAATTACATGCAAATCGAGGGGGACTTTTCTCAACATCTGTCAGTGGTGTCCCCTACGAACCTTCAGCTCTCACTGTGGAGTGTGCAGAGCCGAGATTGAGTAACAAAGTCCTCACTTCGACGAGGATTCCCAATCATTTTCGCGGTCTGTATTGTCTTCATCTCTCAACGCATCCTCCCATCACCATTATCATGATGCTAGCCACGATCAGATCAGATGGTAGGGTCGAATTCCTACTCATCACCAACCCTTGATCATGGAGGAGAAGCCATCCGATGAGTTTCTGGAGCGTACCCGGCACCCGATACGGAGATGGCGGGTTGGATCAAGTTGGCATCGACTGTTACAAAGAAGGGAGATATAGATGTATATGTGCACCTGATGTGGCTCCGGTGTCGAGGCCTCGACTAGCTGAGGCAGCAAGATTTTTGCGACTTTTTCCGGCACACGCATTTTCCATTGCTACTTTTTTATTTTTTACTTTTTTGGGTAGAAGGTTCCATGGGTAAACACTGAGCTGAATGACTATTTATCACGGGCAATACATCGATGATCTTTCAAAATATATGAGAGGCAAGGAGCATTGCACATGGTTTGGCCTGGATTAGAGAAGAGCCCAATGTACTAGATAGTCTATGGCTCAAATAGTTCACACCTGTGGCGGCTAGTAAGTCGGTAGATTGCCTGTAGCCTGTGATATTCATCTCATGCATACTTATTACCTCAGCGCTAAGATACGTTGGTATTAAGAGTCTGGTACTGCCCGTGCACGAAACATCGTTGGTAACTAGCCCACACTTTAATAGTGGGAGCCGGACTAGAGGACAGAGACTAGTGTTTGAAATATTGGAATCATGTATATAAATAGGGCGTTGAGTGTAGCAGTAGTCTTGTTCTTCAGTTAGTAAATAAACTTACCTTTCGACATATGAACGCCAAAGCTTTATTTATCGGAACTGTTACAACACCCATACAATTTTTTGGAATTCGAAATTACGAATCTTTATTTTCTCCCCTCACCTTCCCTTTCGCTCTCGTCGTATTCTATTAATAAATCGTGATCGAGTCGCTGGCATTTTTATCATGCCACCTGTTCGAAAAAAGCTCTTCAACGCAATATTGGACAACTGGAGAGTCCGCCCGAGGGCTCTCGCAAAATTACCTGACCTTGCCCACTCTTCGAAATGCGCGGAGATTGGTCAGGCCGTTTCAAAAGGGAAGGAAAAAGCCCTTCCCACCGTCAACAGGCCCGATGCTAACATGATCAGGTCAGATGAAACTTTTGAGGAAATTCCTTAACGAGCCTCCGTTCCTCACGGGATTTGAGAATCGTCCAAATCTCCTACGACCGAACCTAAACCGTCGGAGAAGTCTGCACCGAAAGCAGCTACATTGAAAGAGTCGCAACCTCAAGCTGCCACTTAAGCAGAATGCCCTTTGTAACTTCGACCGATCCTTCAGGCCAAAGAATAACGTGCCGCCGAAACAGCAGCAAATATGGCACTCTATCCGCCGTCATTTCTGGCGTTGAAGCAACCCTTCTTCCTTTGAGCAACGGGTCAAATAGACTATTCGTAGACTCCATGAGAGTCTACCTAAGCGCCGCCATTGTACAATACATGGCCACGGGCCCGGCAACTACGCCACCTGTCCTCCCTCTTCGCCCAGCAAACCATCCTCTGAGAGCTCCTGACGCCAGGAGCCCAATCATACCCCCCGTCCCAGCGCTGCCTATCAAAAGTATCTTGGCCACAGTAGCTAAAAACGGACTGCCACAAAAAGCAGTCCCTTCAGTGAAGACTGTGCCAGAGCCTGCGGCCAAGGCTCCAAAGAAAGAGGCTCCGAAGGCGAAAGTCGACAGACGACTTTTTATCTACCTTGGTACCAACCACCCCTGGAGGAAATTATCTCCCCAGGCTGCACGACCTGCAATCCAGGAGCAAACTGGTTGCAGTCTATATATGACTGACTCTGTACACCGAGTCAGTGTAAGAGAACGGTACGCCAGCTTCTCGCAATTGTATGTTAAAAATGAATTTATTTTCTATCTAGAGAAGAAAGTCGTAGCTACGAAGGGTTTTGGCTAATATAAATATGACGCGTCGCGTCACTCGCGAAACTTTATTAAGCAGAGTCGAGTCTTTTCCCAAAACAATTTTAACGCCTATTCGGAGCTGGATAAACTCCGGTTCCAGATAAACCAGGCCACGGCCTGTAACAGTCAGGACCGGCTCCGCAATCGCGATAGCCGATGAAGAATTGAGATAGAAGATCCTGGAGACCTCTCCGACCCTGGAGAGTATAATCACCAAAGTTGAGGAGGCTTCGGATCTAGTCTCCTTACAGATACTAAATGTACCCGTAAATATCATACTAAAACGCGGCCCGGTAATGGTCACACACTAGGAGGTCACAGGCGAGATCCTCCGACTTGCTGGGCTTCCGCCAGCCAAGGTGCGAGCACATGGAACGCACTGTCATGGTGCACCATACCACAACTAGGTTGCTTTTTTACCTCGGAACCCTACTCCTCGTGCGGGCTTCCGCATCTCTGAAAAGTCTGGTTTGGCTACCAAGCTACAGCCTCGGAAAAGAATCAAGCAGTGCTACCGCTGCCTCGGCTCCCACGCTCCGGCCTGTCAGAATTGCGGTTCAATAATGCACTATGAAGAAGAGTGCTAGGCCTCCACCAGATGTCGAAATTGTGGAGGACCTCACCAATCCGACTCACGGTACTGCCAAGCCAGACCTAACAAATTCGGCCTAGTGAAGAAAGAGCGGCTTGCAGTAATTCGAAAAGTCGAGCAAGAGAGGTTTACAGAAGCAGCCCAAGCAAGAGTAACTGAAATTATTTCCGGAGATTGGAATAGTTACATACTAGCCTCGAGTTTGATTTAGAGATACTATAAATGTGTTTACTATACGAAGAAGTTTACTGATATTTAATGGATAGTTAATTGTGATTAAATTGCTAAAATTCTATATGTGTGGCGAGAAGTCCCTCTATATACATGAAAGCGGGGTTTTCTGCACACTAATGTGAACTCCAACATACTTCCTAATCTAACCTAAATGGGCAGGTTGTTGGAGATCCTGAAGTCCAATGTATGCCATCTGGTGTAACAGCTAGTGAGCCAATAATTGTCCTATATCACGTGATGTTAATCACGTGACTCGAAAATTCTGTGAAAGGCGAAACTTCACTCTAGTTTATTTTGAACATGACTAGAGGATTCTAGCAACTGGCATTGAGACTGTGAACTGGTATCAGGGAAAAATAACAGAGGCTAGTATCAGCCAGGAAGGAATATTCTAGATAGCCTAATAAGCGTATAAATAGTTGAGTTCGGACACACATATTGTGGTATAGAAAATAATAAACAATCTTCGTATATTTGATCGCCCCAGCATCTATACCTCGAACTGTGACATCTGGCATCTATTGGCTAATTACTATTCATACCAGTGAGTGATACAATGGGTTAATCATATCTTATGGCGCCAGTGCATATTATTCTAATATGTACTATTTGTCTACTGCAATCATGTTGCTGCCTTAATTACAACAAGAGTTGCAGCCAAAAGGGCAGAAGAGGCAATTATCGCCTCAAACAAGTGTGTCAGGAAATGCTGCTTAGTCAGCTAGTTAGTCAAGTGAAAAGTGTCCACATTGTTAGTATATAACACCTTTATCACTCCACATCCTTAGTACCATATCCATAAATTCTCTACATATTGCATATTACCATCTGCATTATCTTACTCATGTGACTATACTTTTTCAATATCCCAACAAAGCGTTGTAATTAGGGAAGTAATATGACTGCATTAAAATAAACTGTTCACAATACAATAATGTGCATAGGTGCCTCTCACAGAACCATCACCATCACATTTTCATCCCACATTGCATTACCAATTACCCTTATTTACAAAAATCAT